GGCAGAAATAAGTAGGGTGAGGGGAACTAAAACTACCTAAAAGCTTTTCCGATACATGCCACCGTGGCATGTTTCGCAAAGTGTAAGGAATCATGACGACAGCTGAATGGCCGCAGGGTGATATGCAGTTACGAACGATCCCCTTGGGGAACCGGGCGAAACCTCATTGTAATCAGCCTTCCTCTGGTAATGCGGGACTCTGCCAGAGGTGACCAACTCTTTCCTTGCTACTCGTGGGAACACACATATGTGAAACAAATAAAACAGACACAACAAAAACCAGTACCGAGGCTGGACAGAAGTGCTCACCTCAATCTATGGCGGTGGCTGGGGATGAACAGCAATGTCCACCCCAATTTACCGCTCGGAATGAGGCTGAACATAGCCTCGTGATGTAATACAAAGGCGGCGCATTTGCGGCGCCGAGGCCAAAAGGAGAAAGAGAGCAAAAGAGGCAGGAGTAGCAGCAACTGTAAGTGCACCCTCCTCCTCCCCCACTCCACCTCCAACAGTAAGGGCACTTCCTGCGGCGGGCGCCAAGATCTCCGTTTTCGTGGAGGTCGCCTTGAGATACCTCAAGGTTGCCAAAGAGAGTGTGTGTTCAGCGAGTCTTGGCCTACACCTGCCGATATAAAGGAGATGTTTCCCAGTGACCTGGCCACCTTCCAGGAAAGGACAAGATGGACGATGAGCTAGGAGGACAACTCCTCGGGAGGATGTACAATTGGTCACATGTGGCCTAAGTACTGTGGGTGTACACTCACCCTCCCTAATATATACATACATACATACTTACCCTTTTCGTTGTCTGTTATTCCTTAGTGTCCTGATACCCTGTATAGAGGCGATTTATTCCTGCTCACCAGTTCCGTCNTGAATTGATTTACTTCCCCACTATCTGCTTCGATACAACGTGACTAACGTGTTACAATAAGAAATTCGCCAAACAATTTTATTGTTCTTATGAATTTCTATGACTGACTACGACTAGTTTCATTCATTCATTCATTATCTAATTGAAACTACGATGACCTCTCTCAGGAAACGATGCTCGCTGAGGTCAGGCGCTAATATCTCGTGTAATAAAGATGTTTCCTCTTAATTTTTCTCAATTTGGCATCGTTTTTAGCTCTTCAACTATTATCACATTGCTTGATGTCACTCAAGGTTTTTTCAGGACGAACACAATTGTCCAATAAACTTAAATAAATTTATTGGTTTAAACATAATCGTGTAGATTACAATCTCAAAAGATTTTTTTAATAGAAGTGGACACACAATCTATGTTCATCTCATTAGCATTTTTTTGGGATAAATAATAGTGTCTGTCGAATTTGATCTCATTAAATGTTATTAACTGAAGTAGGCGTATAACTATTTTTACTTGACCCCATTCTTGTGTAAGAATCGAAAGGAAGGAAGTTTTGTTTGTATCTATCTATAAGTGACGATGAACACGTCGACGGGAAAATAGAAAGGATACACAAACCTGGATATATAATTGGATTTCGAAGTGTTTGGTGTTGGCGCGTTGATGAGATTTATAATCAAATAATTTTCAAAATAGGGCGTCTAAATTGATGGGGCTAATTCAGATCAGCGTAAAATCGATCTTTTTAATAAGTCCCTCGAACATGATTTATTGGTTGTAGCGACTGTAGGCTTTAGATTGGAAATGATAACTCAAAGCTTGCCGCGATTCATATGTGAAATTGATCTCCAATTATACTGACAGGCATATGTTGTGTAATCACTGAAAGGATGTTGAAAACAGTCAGGCCTTTCTATTGAAAACTGTGCGACCAGGTATATTTTGGTGTGAATCTTCATGTAATTCATCTCGATAAAAAACTGTTTTCGTATTTTCATAAAAGTAAAATTTAATGCTTTTTTGTATATCTCACAAAAGGTGTGAACATGAATATAATAATTATTTACTTGTTAAAGCTATTCATATAACCAAATTCGTGGTGTTTTTGTTGTATTACAGATTAAATGTAATACAGCTCTTTATATTCTTGATACCCGATATAACACTACAGCTAGAAACTTATGTAATAACCTTATAAACCTAAAGTTTCTACAATAAACATTTACACTCCAAATCACCCAAATATGACATATACCTGACTATGTCAACCCACCTACCAAAATAAGACACCAAAACCCTACCTTGACAATAATAACAAAAAAGATGAAAAAAACAAGAAAAAAAAACAAAAAAATTATGAAATTAGTTTATTAGTACCTGTGTAAATACTGCAATATATAATTGTTGTTCTAATATTAACGATAATTATATGTATTACTGTTGTATCCTATACTATATAAATATTATTATCATCTATATTACGCACAAGGTTTAAAGCTTCAATGATGTCTCATGTCTATTTTCAAAGTTGGATAGCCTTTTTTTCTTTCTGTATTGTTCTATTTTTGAAAAGAAACAATTTTTTCGAAAAAATAAACATTATTTACTTGATGAATAACAGTTTTAGTGTATTATCCATAAATGTAAACAGTAAATTTTTTTCAACAAATCACTTCACTTGCAAGAAATGAGTGAGTACTTGCCACTATTGACCTACTGATTATTTCCATGAAAATAAATAACTTGCCATTACTATCTCCTGTTTTTCCATACAAATATCTCGATAAATAACTATTATTTCGTTTTTCAACGAACTACAAATCAGTAAATCATGAGTGATAACATAATTTATCTTTAATTAGCCATATTGCAGATGTAAAGTAATTACCGAAAAACGAAGTAAATCTTCAACATTTATTGTAAGTAGGTACTGTACTTTTGCATTATAGGGGTAAACATATTTAAACAAATACTGAGTAGTGAGATCAGTTTCCATTGTATTTGTATATTTTCGTGGTTGTCATCATCGGTAATTTCAAAGAGTTTTTCAGTTGGATGAAAAACTACCATTGACAGGTGACTATTATCCTTATTCTATGTGGGGGTAATATCTGGTTCACAGAAAAATAAATTTGTAGAGACCTGTCATGTTTCATACACATTTAATAAACCCGCCTTCGGCCACAGAAAATGTATTCCAATTATCAGCTTAATCTCTACAGAATACCCTTTTGAGAGTCAAAACTTCTCTTCATTTTGAACAGAAGGTCTTTTGGGACATTGAGCCATAGGAATAAAATAGGAGCAAATTTCTTTGCTTCACACAGGGGTGGAATTGAAAGCTTTTACTTTTTTCATTGATTGGGTCCACTATGTTGATGAAGAGTTTTATTTTGAATTTATCAGAATCCTTCACATTCCGAATAAATAAATACACTGTATAATTTGAAGCCGTTCAACACTCGCAATCAATCTTGTACTTCATACTCAGAATAAAAGTAGTTGCTGAGTAAAATGGGTTCAGAAAATTAGGATTAATCGGGGTAGTTTGTTAGCTACGATTTTTTTTATTCATAATCACCCACAAGCGACCTGGAAAATTTTATAGATTTATCCACTTGACGAAAGTAAACTTTTCATCTACAAACTATTTACTCATTTTTCAGTAGCATATGGATTTTGGCTTGGACAAGTGCATTGTTAGGTTTTCGGGTATGATTTACAACACTATCCTGTGGTTGTTCGCCCCGAACAACATTCCAAGAGGGGACATCACGACCCATGTAAGGACTCTCTATGTGGACACCTTTAGGCTTACTTCTAGGTGACACTGCGATTCTGTATACCAGATCGTTCATCTGTTTGATTATCAAGTAGGGTGCTTGCAACTTGGGACACAAACCTTTTCTACGTTGAGGTTGGTAGAGCCACACTGGCAACGATTTTTTGTGAAATCTTGTCCTCATCCTGTCGCTGGAAAGCTGTAATTTGGTGAGGTACTCTGAAAGAGGTACCTCTTCAGATTCATCGAAAGGATTGCCACACAATACATCTATCGGAAGCTTCAGTTCCCTACCAGTTAACAACATAGATGGTGTGTAACCTGTCGTGTCATGTTGGGAGCTCCTGTATGCCAACCGAAAAAGAGGAACCAATTTATACTACTTCTGACACCAAATGTTAGGTTTTTCCCCGTGGGTTTACCAATAATTGACTACACTGAATTAATCAAACTTAACTTTATTTCACTTTAAATACAACAAACACTTCAACTAAAACTTCACTGGACTGTCTCGATATGCCCGTGGCTAGCGTTTATTTATCGTGATCGAATGCGCTAAAAAATTTTGTCCTTCCTTCGAAATCGGTAGCATTATTTTCCCTGCATCTACAGCGGCAGCGAACGTCGGACATTCACGCGCTCTTAACTACGTCACAATTGGTTTATGGCTACCAGTAGCGGCCGGCGTTATTTTCTTTGGGGCATGATTTACAACAGCATTTTTCCAGCAAAAGTGTTGACCTAATGGAGCGATTTTTGTTCTCAGTACGACTTTTTTTTAACACATCGGTAATTTGTACTTCATATTCTATTTTTTTCACAAAGTTTTTTGAATTTAGGGCAGTGAGAACCCGTGAGTTTCAGTAGCAAATTATCCCATAGAGTTAGTTGAAACCTCAACGAACAAAACGTGGACTTCAATTTGCAAGTTCTGCTTTTGCCAACTTCCATGGATATTGCCAATTATTCATTACCAGACCAAAAACGTTTTAGAAAAATTTGGAAAATATTCGAGTGTGAAAATTTGTCGTAGAGATGGTAATTTCGTGAGAACTCAAGCCACCACTGTAAGTTTTTAACGAACGGCAACAAAAAAAGTTCCCTCTTAATAAATGAATTTTTCGAATCTGAAACTCATAACATAATTCACATTGAAAAAGCCACCCTGTAAAAAGTTGTTTGCGTTATGGAAAAACCTCTTTATTATTTGTCCCATGAGTCAAACTAGCGCAATCTTTATTGATGCAGCACCGTAGATAATAGATATATTTCGTTATCAGGTTTTGTTATCAACGCCGTGAAAATATTCACTCACGATAACTCTTTCTGCTACTAATGTCGATTATTATATTCTAAGAATGTGAGTTTTTGTTCTGAAAATTCAGTTTATTACAAAAGTGCGTAAATTATTTGAAATGAATAAATTTCCACATCTTCAAAACTTTTTCATTGCATTAGTCGTCAGTTCCATAAAGGTTGCAACATGCCTTTGCAAAACAACCTTGAGCCATACCATATCGGTAAACTTTATTGTCCGTTATTAAATACCCGCAGCCATTCCAATTGCGATAAACAATTGGGTAATGTCGTTCATTTGTCTTTCTTTGTTGCAGGCTCATCGCCGGAGTTGATGCCGAGTATTATGGGTGCTTTTGATGCTATCGTGGGGACGCAGACAAAGGAAAACGAAGCTGACGTCGAAGTGAAGACCAGTACGCCGAAAAGAAGTCATCAGGCTAACAATTTCTCCAACTTGTCGCCTCGCGTGCAGAAAATCCTGTCGAACGTGCCCGATCAGGAGATCAGCAAAAAGTTCAGCTCAGAAGAAACTTTGGGACCAAGGAGATTCTCCAGCAAGCCTACTTATAGGTCGTTCCGTTCGCCAGAGAAGTGTTTGAACAAAAGCAACGAAAGTTTGGAAGTCATTTCTTCGAACGTGCAAAAAATGTTGTCCAATCTGCCGGACACGGAACTGGTGATAAGCGCGAGTACTATGAATCTGTCGCGAAACAGTTCGTATCTGTTCAATTCGGCCAGTCGTGGTGAGTTTTTGAACAAGCTGCTATCGGAAGGTGACAGTAACGGGGCCGTTACGAACGGAGGGAAACAGTTTTTGTACTATTCCGACGAAAATAGCAAGGAAAACGTCTACGCGGCCGCCGGCGAAGAATCCGACGTTTGTGACGGTGAGAAATGTGAAAATTGTGATAGTTACAGTCAGAAACCTCTCGGTAGTTACTTGCATTCCCCTCAAGGGATCGCTTCGAGGACGCCGGTGGGAAGGAAAAATATGGGGAAATATTTGCAGGTGAGTTGAAAACGAAATTTGGTTTTTTCTGTATGTAGACTGTGAATTGAAGGAGTTATATATATTTTTTTTGTGTGTGTGAAAGTTACTTCTTTGCATGATCTACACATCCATGTATAGAGTTACTTCCTTCCTTTCTTTGGAAGACTCCCTCATCCTTCTTTTTTTTTGTATCAAGATGGAGTAGTAGAAAGCCAAAAACTTTCTTTCCCAAAAATGTAGATTGTCTTAATTCAAGACTTCTATCGATCCCATAGATGGATCTTCTCAGGAAGAGCCTCCTCTTGTTCAGAGCTGTTCAAGTTAAGGACAGAACAGTGCGAAAATTGCATCTTTGACCCGGCTAGTACCGCTTTTGAGATCTATGGCAGATTGAAACAACATTATCTAGTACTGAGCCATAATTATTTCAAGTTTATAGTATCTCCTAGAAAGTCAAATCAACTAGTGAATTATTTTTTCCGATTTCAAGAATTTTTGACTTTACTTCCAATGGTGATAAATGTATATAGAGCTGCTTACAAGTGAGTGAAGTAGAAATAGAACCTCCACTGAAAAATGCTGTATTCAAGCATATTGCTTTATCTAATCATATTTATCAGTTTTCATTGTAACTATTCCAATTTCGATAAACTGATGTGATGGAAAAATGTTTGTACTCTAGAACAAAGCAAGTTTCATTCTTCTATAAATTTTGTGAAACTGTCATCTTTAATAAATATCAAGAATGAACTTACACTGATCTGGCATCATCTTGTTGACAAAGATCAGTTCTCGGATAAGTCCAATAAGGTAATTATATTCGAATTCAAACATAACATGTATTTTTGTGTAGCAAATCTCTAAGCATGATAAACCCAGTGACAGATGCTTTTATTTTTACAGAAACCAGAAATGTGTCAAAATCTGGGTCTTGAACGAAAAATTTTAAAGAAAAGTCTTTGCAGCAGTTTGTTTTTAAGTATTTCGAATAAAGTGAAATGTTGAATTTATTTCAATGAAACTGAATGTTAGAACTGAAATGAAATGTTAGAACTTCTTCCAAAATACCAAAAAAACACTGAGAACCTCGCTGAGATCTATACTCCATACATACAAAACCCAACAATAATGATGAAAGAACAAAAAAATATTTTTAAGATACCTAGTTATTGTTATAGAAATTATATTGGTGAAACTTCAAGACCAATAAAAGTGATGTGTGAAAAGGAACATCGAGATTACATCAAAAATAAACACAGGAAAAGTCTAGGGATATTTTTTCGTTCCCATGGGTTGGGCTATCTATCGGGCGCGTCCCCAGGTGGCGGATAGGGGAACGGCCAGGGGACTGGAGG